AGAGGGTCTCAGAGCTCCTGTAATAAACAAACCCGCCTTCCATGGCTCACCCAGCACAGTCCAAGGTGACTGGGCTGAGAGTCTTTTCCTGAAGGTTCCAAGGAACCCGATCCTGTCTGGCTCAGCCACCTGGCCCTGACTGGCCCTTTCTGCCCCTGGTGACCTGATTAACCACAAGTCTATTCCAGGTTCCTTCTTACTCAACCCCCTGTCTACACTGACTCCTCTCGCCACATGAGAGAGGATTATAAAATTCAAAAGGCCCCAAAGATCCAACATGTTCAAGTCTATAAAAACACATCCACCCTAAAATGCAAATCCTGATAGTGCATCAGGATCTAGAGTGTTTTGAGGTCTCACGAATGCATGATTCTTGTCAAAATGAAGCTTTTGGAGAAAGTATATCTCCCTAAGATTTCAGCTATATCCTTTTGTTGTTAGTAATGTAAAAAAACAACTTTTTCTAGTTTTTTAGTTTTCTGTCCTAGCATATGACTACCTGCAGCTAACTCAGTGGATTGTAATATTTTTAAAACCTCTCTTTGACTATTTGGGTCCAGGTAAATGGCTTGGCTGACTTTCCCCCACAGAGTAACCCAACTGATTGGGGATGCTTGTTTGTAGCCAACACACCCATGTCCACACACTCTCCCTACCTGGCTTGCTGGCCTGGGTGGTGACGTCCAATCTTAAGTATGGATCCCTGTTGTCTTGAACACATTTCCTTCCTTAAAACCTTCAATTAGAGGAATGCAATGGGGATTTTCATCACACTGAATACCACATCTCAGTGGCAATTACAGAACAATGAAGACAGATCAAAACTTGTCAGTAGACAGACATTTAGAAGGAAAAACCTTTTCAGTATTTTGAAAGAAAAATAAACAGAACTCAAGTCAACATACACATACTCATGCATCATTGGAACTTCTCTGTTAAGGGGGATGTGTTTAGATCAAGGTCCACGTGAACCCCAAGTAAATAAATGCTATCGGGGGAAGCAAGGGGCACTAGAGGTGGCAAGGGGTGGGGGTTGATGGTGTAACTGGTGCCAGATGGGGTCCTCTGACCAAAGTCTGGGCTTTCCTGGGAAATCTCCCCACTCTGTCCACATAGAGATGGGGATGTGTTATAGTTGGAGTTCTTCAAAGAAACAGAATCAATAGGCTGGAAATTTGGGAGGAGTTGGGGTTACTGTCTTGGGTCTGAGTCTCACAGGGCAGTGGTCTGGAAACTCAGGCAGGATTTCCAGGTTGCTGTCTTCAGGAGAATCCCTTCTTCTTTGGGAAATCTCGGTCTTTGCTCTTAAGGCCTTCAACTGATTGCATAAGACCCACCCATAGTATGGAGTGTCATCAGTAGTCAAAGTCTTCTGATTTAAAGGTTAATCATATCTCAAAAAAAAAAAAAAAAAAGCCTTCATAGCAACATCCAGACTAGTGTTTGGCCAAATGACTGGGACCATAGCCAGACAGGTTGACACATAACATTAGCCACCACAATGGGGGAGCCTTTCTCCCTGGACCTCTGCTGGTTGGATGGGGTTTCTGATGTCACATTCCCTGCTGGCGAGTCCCTTAGCATGTCCTTACCTTACTTTCCTCATTTCTGAAATGGGATCGTAATTGCTCCCTCCCCATGGGGCTGCTGTAAAGGTTGGGTTGTGGTGAGGCTCGGACAGTACCTGCCCCCGGCCAGCTGCTGCAGGGTGCTGGTGAGAGATGCACTTATTCAGGTACGTGATTTGGTGTCTTCTCTCTGGTTTCCCCCTACCCGCTATTTCATGGGGTGACCCGGTTTTCATGTTCCTTGTTTCTTCAGGTGAGGTGAGTGTGAGTCATATTACACGGTCAAAACAGAAGCCATTTGTAAGAAACTTCCCTCCCTGTATTTGAGAAAAGTGGAAACCAAGGGTGGAGGTTTGCTGGATGTTCAGGTGTAGGTCCCAGATGTGGAGGGTACAGGGTGCTCTGGGGTACAGGATGCTCCAGGGTACAGGATGCTCCAAGGTACAGGATGCTCCAGAGTACAGGATGTCCTGGGGTACAGGATGTTCTGGGGTACAGGATGCCACAGGTACAGGAAGCTCTGGGGTACAGGATGCTCCAGGGTACAGGATGCTCCAGGGTACAGGATGTTCTGGGTAGAGGATGCCCTGGGGTACAGGATGCCACAGGTACAGGAAGCTCTGGGGTACAGGATGCTCCAGGGTAGAGAATGTTCCAGGGTACAGGATGCCCCAGGGTACAGGATGCTCCAGGGTACAGGATGCCCCAGGGTACAGGATGCTCTGGGTACAGGACGTCCCGGGTACAGGATGCTCTGGGTAGAGGATGCCCCGGGGTACAGGATGCCCCAGGTACAGGATGCTCTGGGTACAGGACGTCCCAGGTACAGGATGCTCTGGGTAGAGGATGCCCTGGGGTACAGGATGCCCCAGGTACAGGATGCTCTGGGGTAGAGGATGCTCCAAGGTAGAGGATTCTCCAGGGTACAGGATGCTCCAGGGTACAGGATGCTCTGGGGTACAGGATGCTCTGGGGTACAGGATGCTCCAGGGTACAGGATGCCCCGGGGTACAGGATGCTCCAGGATACAGGATGCTCCAGGGTAGAGGATTCTCCAGGGTACAGGATGCTTCAGGGTACAGGATGCTCTGGGGTACAGGATGATCTGGGATTTAGGATGCTCCGGGGTACAGGATGCTCTGGGTACAGGACGTCCCGGGTACAGGATGCTCTGGGTAGAGGAAGCTCCGGGTACAGGATGCTCCAGGGTACAGGATGCTCCAGGGTACAGGATGCTCCAGGGTACAGGATGCTCTAGGGTACAGGATGCTCCAGGGTAGAGGATGCTCCAGGGTACAGGATGCTCCAGGGTAGAGGATGCTCCAGGGTACAGGATTCTCCAGGGTAGAGGATTCTCCAGGGTACAGGATGCTCCAGGGTACAGGATGCTCCAGGGTACAGGATGCTCCAGGGTAGAGGATGCTCCAGGGTACAGGATTCTCCAGGGTAGAGGATTCTCCAGGGTACAGGATGCTCCAGGGTACAGGATGCTCCAGGGTACAGGATGCTCCAGGGTACAGGATTCTCCAGGGTAGAGGATTCTCCAGGGTACAGGATGCTCCAGGGTACAGGATGCTCCAGGGTACAGGATGCTCCAGGGTACAGGATGCTCCAGGGTACAGGATGCTCCAGGGTACAGGATGCTCCAGGGTAGAGGATGCTCCAGGGTACAGGATGCTCTAGGGTACAGGATGCCCTGGGGTACAGGATGCTTTAGTGTACAGTTGAAGTAGACACAGGATTTGCAGGTACGTTTGATTTTCAGATAAAAACAATCAACATTTTAGTGTAAGTATGTCCCATACCAAAATCACTAGCTGTTTATCTGAAATTCAGCTTCAACTGGGCAGTCTATATTTTTGATAGCTAAATTTGGCAACCTGCCTGAGATAGGAAATGTGACCCTGCAGGGACATGATTCAATAATTCAGGACTCTTTTTTTTTTTTTTTTTCTGGGTTTCCACAGGACCAGCCCTCTCTGACACCTCATCAGAATCCCTGGGGATTTGTTCACACTCCTCCATTTGTTCTTGTAACAGATGCTTATTGAGCACCTGATGACCAGGAAACTGGACTTTGTAACAGTGGGGTGAGGGCTATGACCCAGTCAGGGTGTCAGGAGGAGAGGGGCAGGTGTGGAGAAGCATAGAATGGGCAGGACCAACCCAACCTGGAAGGGGCACGGTGGCCTGTGTGGGGCTGATCTAGCCTTGCCCCAGGCCAGGAACAGAATGAAGTCCACTCTGGTGGGCAGAGAAGAGGTGAAATTCGGGGAGGCAGTGAGAAATGGGGGGTTCCTCCGTGCCAGGTAGTGCCTAGGCAGTTGAGTGCACCCATGCACAGACCCTCGCCCCACATAGAAAGCCATAAATTCCAGTTCAATACACAAGGAGTGCACACCGTGAAAGCTGTCAGATTCAAAATGGAGTCACTTGTGTCAAACTCTGACAAATAGAGCCAGGGAAGCAGCAGGGGTCTCACATACCATTTGCCTGATAACAGGAACTCTCACAAGAAATCATCCCAAACTGCAGCTCACTAATGAGTCACACGAGGGCAGCCAGCAGCACCAGGACAGCCCCCTGCTTACACAGGAACACTCGTGTGGCACACTGTTGCACAAGCCCCATACAAAACGACAAGATTTTGTATATATGACGAACCCTAGCTAACTAACCCTAGCTCTGAGACTGCAAGTCACACCCAGCAACTGCTCACATTTGCCCATTGGCATGCACCAGCTCTGGCAAGTCACTGCCAGCCCCAGTGAACTTTCTTTCAAAACAACTCAGGCAACTCCTCTTTCCCCTATCAACTCTAACTTTTCCTTTGTTCTCTGTACCCACCAGAGGTCACCCCGGTCTGTATGGATGTTCCAGATTGCAATCCTACTTCTTGTATATTATTCCAAACAAAACCTTCTTATTTAGAGATTCATCTCTATTTTTTTTTTTTTATGTTGACATAATCTGGTGTCAGAAGTGGTGTTTGAAGCTGACTTTCCTTGAAGAGATCAGCGCCCCTGGAAGGATTGCATGGGGTGCCCACACTGGGGCTGCTTGAGTGTCCCTGGCCCTGGCTTCCAGGGGTTGCCTCCTCCGCTGGTCCCATGACTCTTTCTTGAGTTGAGCTCTCATTTTTGTTTCAGTTGAGTTCTTTGGTTTTATTTGGGATTTGTTTGCAAGGGGTCTTTTCCCCTTCTGCTGCTGAGGTCTCCTATTAAGAAGGGTGGTATGGTTTGGCTGTGTCCCCACCCAAATCTCATCTTGAATTCCCACGTGTTGTGGGAGGGACCTGGTGGGAGGTAATTGAATCATGGGAGCAAGTCTTTCCCGTGCTGTTCTCTTGATAGTGAATAAGTCTCACGAGATCTGATGGTTTTAAAAAGAGGAGTTCCCCTGCACAAGCTCTCTCTCTCTCTCTCTTTTTTTTTTTTTTTTTGCCTTCTGCCATGCATGTAAGATGCGATTTGCTCCTCTTTCCCTTCTGCCATGATTGTGAGGCCTCCCCAGCCATATGGAACTGTGAGTCCAATTAAACCTCTTTCTTTTGTAAATCGCGCAGTTTAGGGTATGTCTTTATCAGCAGCATAAGAATGGACTAATACAAGGGCCTTTTCTTCCCCTGATTTATGGAGGACTTTCCCTCCTGTTAAGGAAGGCTTTGTTGTCTTTCCCAGTGAGCACATACCTTATTCTTTGGCTTCATTTCGCACACCTGATATTTTGCTTTTATGTGTTTGGCCTTAGTGCTGACTTGCCTCGATACATTAATTTAAAGTATGGGCTCTTAAAGTCCAAAGGCAGGCTAAGATCGTTCCTCTCTTCTGGGACTCTAGCTGGTGACACGTTCAAACATTCTGGAGGTCATTCAAACAGTTTGTTTTTCTTAGAACTACACGAAAAGACCCCGACTTAAAATCAGATAGTCCAGATAGGATGGGCATCTCCGTGGGTCACGCAAAGCTTCAAGCTGCACCCAGGACTCAAGGACTGCCTTGCTGCAAAACACTGCCTCGAAGCCAGCTGGGCTCTCTCCCCTTGGGAGCCTTGCCCACCTTCCCACGCCTCCTCCTCAAGCTAAAGTCTATTTTCCAAAACTCCTTGGCTATTCTGGCATACTGACTATATAAGTAACAACACTTGAAAAACAGCAGGTACAAAAAAGAATCATTTGACCTTCATGCTGTTTCTTAAAAGCAAAAGATGCAATTCCCATGTAAAAGACACACTCCCTGAACCAGAAGGGAAGACAGTCTTATCTTCAAGGACTAGGAATTAAAGCGAAGGAAATACTGCACAGACCTTGTTAGAGTAACTTTTATCTTTGAAGCCTCCTCACACAATTTGGTTCAGAGCCTTCATAAGATTAGCTATCCGGGCTAGTGAAAAGCCTCCGAGTTTAGCCTTGTTCCATTTTTTCAGACATATATTTAGAATTCAATTCTCTTTTTATAAACTAATGATTTTGTATTACTATGTTTTATTCATGACAAAATGTTTTAAATAAAAACTGTAAGATCTTTGTCTATATGTTTATATAATTTTAAAAATATTTATATGCTATATGATATGATATTTTTCTACCAAAATGTGTAAAATAACTCTATTGGCTTAAAGAAAAAACAAACAAGTAAAATAATTTATCACAAATACAGTAATCATCCTAAATTCCTTTTAGTTCACCTGATTTAATTATCTTTGATAAATAGGCTGACTTTAAATCGGCTGACAAAATGAAAATGAAGATACCTTCAGAACTGTTAGTACATTTTGTTTTTTTTGGAGGCAGGGGCCTGGGTTTCTTGGCCAAAGGTTATGTTTGTCTCTGTTAAATGATTTAAAAATCATAAAAGTATGTGTTTGACCAAAGAACAAAAGTACAGATAAGAGTACAATGCAATGTCCATTGTTTCCTGAATATTAAAGACAATAATTTAAATATTTGGGTTTTTCTTTGACAGGAAAATAATTTGAAATAATAACTAGCTCTGTCTAACATCTCAGTTTGCATAAGTAATCTAGGTACAATTGTTAAAAATAAAGTGAATATAAATGGAATAAATGTCGATAGTTAAACTTTGCATGAAATTTGGAATCTTAGATATGTTATATTGAATTAAATAATAGAGACTCATAAAATAGCTGAGTCATTTCTTTTTTTCTTTTTTTTTTTTAAGCTCCTGGATACATGTACAGGACGTGCAGGTATGTTACATAGGTAAATGTGTGCCATGGTGGTTTGCTGCATCTATCAACCCATCACCTACGTATTAAGCCCAGTGTGCATTAGCTATTTATCCTGATGCTCTCCCTCCTGCCATACATCCTCTACCTTCAGGCCCCAGTGTGTGTCGTTCCCCTCCCTGTGTCCATGTGTTCTATATCTGGGTCATTTCTAAATAAAATACTGAAACATGAATTGCTAAACATAGATTCAAGTTTACTTTTGGTTTCCTAAATTGTATAAAAAGACAAAAGATATTCGGGTCTATTAGTAAATAAATGTGTCTTCCTCCACATTGAGAAGTTGCTCTATAAAATATGTTTATATATATAGATATATTTTAAGACAGAGTCTCTCTTGTCACCCAGGCTGGAGTGCAGTGGCACAATCTCAGTTCACTGCAACCTCCGCCTTTCAGGTTCAAGCGATTCTCCAGCCTCAGTCTCCCTAGAGGCTGGGATTACAGGCACCAACCACCACACCCAGCTAATTTTTGTATTTTTAGTAGAGATGGGGTTTCACCATGTTGGCCAGGCTGGTCTTGAACTCCTGATCTCAGGTGATCCGCCTGCCTTGGCCTCCCAAAGTGCTGGGGTTATAGGTGTGAGCCACCGCACCCAGCCGAGATTATAAAATATATAGTCACGAGCTGTTAATATATACACAATACATAATAGTTTTTGGGTTTTTACTAAAAATTAAGGTTACTAAAAATTAAAACTTCAAATTAATATATGTAATAGATGTATATTCTGTATGCAAAATATACACAAAATAATTTTTTGTATGGGAAAGGATGTTGTGTGATCTCAGGGACAAAGGGAATACAGATGATTTTTGTCCTAAGGTAAAATAACTGAATGTTTCAATATAAAAAGGGGGAAATGTAGGACCAAGACTGGGGGCGTAGGAGAATGCTGAATGGGCTGAGCAGCTCGTGCGGAGTTTGTGAAGAACGGTCCTGGCACAGGGAGCTGGAGTTTCGTGTGTGACCAGGCTGGCTGGGATCGGAAGGGAATCGTTTACAAGTGTTTCTGAGAATTGAGCACTGATTCAGGGCACACTGATAAAGGCCTGGAGACTGTCCTGTATGTTTGGAGCACGGTTTCCTTAAGATGTTGATTTGCTCTTATGAAAAAAACAAAACAAAACAAAGCATTGTAAGGGGTTTTGATTTCAATTTTGAAATTGGTTTCTTTAAATTTCCAGCCATCTTTTGAACTACAGCTTTTCCTGTTTTGCAGTTTCTGTTTAATTTCGAGTCGGACGTACTGTCTTCTTCATTTAAAATGATAATTTTATTTCTCAGTGTAGAGTTTTCCTCTTAAAGTGTTCCTGATTCAGGTTCGTAAGGGTCTGGCTTCTTCCCATGTCACTACATGCAGTCTGTGAGTCATGCATCATTGCCTTCCACTCCTCTTCCTTCTCTCCTTAAAAAGGCACATCTTTTTGCTTAACTAAAGTGGTGACTTTCTCCCTCAATTTTTTTGTCCTTTGCTGTAGCTTTTACCCCTCCAGATCTGACTCTGCTATTGCGGTTTGATGCTGAGAGTGCTTCTCTAAGGCCTAAGAGAACATTTTCTTTTATAGAACTTGATTCTGTACTCTTAGATTTTCTCGTGGTGCCTAAATTGCTCTATGTAACCAGGCCGTCTCACATTCTTTTAGTTTTTCTGAAAGCCATGCATTCCCCTGCTCAGGTATTGGTTCTCTTGATTATATGATTCCTCTATAATATCGGTGTACACGAACAACCTTAGATGCCTACTATTCCGTTACCTGATGGAATTCAAGTGCTTTTTCATCAGGTTTGCCTTCCAGGTTATCTAAACAGGCTTCCTCTAAAAAGAAACAGTCATATTGTAGGAAATGTGTTTTGTTTTGTTTCTACCTTTTAGATGAACAGCCTAAGAAACAGAGATAATGTGTTGTAAGGCAGGTTCGTGTGCTTTGTGCCAGCTTTATTAGGTTTTTGATTACTTGGGAAAATGGTCATCTCTAATTCAGGTCTAAGATTTTTTTCCTCTCAACTGTGTAACTTTTTGTGTTTGCTTTTAATATCTTTTAAATATCATTCTGGGTAAATAAGTGACTATTATTTCTCAGTGGCAGGTGATATTATTTTAATTAAATATTTTAAGCCTTTTAACATCTTTGACAAACTTCCCAAAATCAGATTATAATTAAAGTCTTTTTAACCTAAAATTGACTTTGGGATTTTTCAGTTGGTTTCCTTAAAGGCCTCAAAGGAGGTATTTCTCATTAGGCTTATTTGATCTATTAGATTATGGAAAAAGCACTGCCAAATAATAAAGTGATACTAGATCTTTTAAAACTTATATTTAAGTGGATATGTTATTGATGTGAATATTTAAACATTATATGACATTTATAAAAGTCTTATAGTTCTGATGTGATGCTGTCAATCATGATTCTGGTTGTTATCTTAAAATGCAATAGAAATAACTGAATTTTCTTGTCGATTACTGAACTTCATCGAATTTTAATTATGATCATTGTAAGTTCTTGTCATCTACAGGTAGACTTTTCTCTAAAGGCATCTGCTATCAGATTAATAAAAAAAGACTCTAATGAGTGCTCTTAAATATAGGCTTCTACTAAGTTTTAAGATCAGTGGACTAAATAAAAATTTCTAAAATTCAAATGAAAAACTGATGGATTCATGAAACTTCTAATCAAGATGAAGCAGAACAAAACTTAATTATGTGAGATTGAATAACTGATTAAAAATTATGATTTTGTTGATATTTATTTGAATTATTGTTGGTTCTTTATGTGAAACATTGTTGATTCTTAAATGTTTTGCTTTCCAGATTAAATATGAGTTTCTGTTTTAAGCTACCCATAGTTTGCAGCAATTTGGTGAAGTATAAGTGTTATAAATGAAGGTGAAAACATTTATTTTTTTTTCTTCCAACTTGATCCTTCAAAATTCAAAAACTGTTTGTGAATTTTTAATTTTATGGTGATATAGCTATTTACATAAGTTCAATACAAATCTGTTTTCTTTATAACAGAATGCATCTAGAAATGTTAATTGTATTACCAAGATTTTAGTAACACATCATGTTTAAAATTGTGTATAGGCACTATAGATAAAATCCAAAGCTTGCCTTGAGGCTCTCTAGCCTTAAAAAAAAAAAAAAAAAAAGTTCAAGCCAAGATTAAATCACGATTCTTGCTACACTTATGTAAATAATCAGGCCAAATCTGATGAAACTAAATTTATTTTACAAGTGAATTATTCTTACTCTGATTATCTTTGGCAAATATCAGAATGACTATCTATCACCTGCTGTTGGACTGCAGCTCTGTGCATTGTTTTGGAGTTCTTGTTATCTACCTGCAGGCTGTACTAGATCCTGAATTCGAGTTCTCCTCAATATCTGGTTACAACCCTCCCAGGAAGAATGAGAACTGTTGTCTTCCTGAGGCCCTGTAAGCTGAAACTGAATGCATTTCAAGGGACAAATCTTGTGCCTAATGTTTGGACCATACAGAGAGTTCACCAAACTGCCCAGTGCCATAATCAGAGACATTTGCACAACAGTTTGCCAACTTCACGCTATAGACAGCTTTTCCCAAGACATCAGAGCAAGCCTCCATATCATAATGAGACTCCTATACTCTTACCTTTGTTGCTTGTCAGGATTATGCCGAGGGTAAAATTTCACAGTTAGTAACTGCTACGGGTAACTTGACAGAACTTGACATAAAAATTCCTTTAGTCCATCTAGTGGGCAACTTTAACAACAACCTTAACACAGCTCTTTGTTCAAACTGTACCAGTGGTCCCTTTTGTAGAGCTGGTACTCTGCTTTAATTCAGCCAAGTCATGGAATGCTACTCAAAGTCTACAACAGGCCTTGCCCAGCTCCCCCTAGCCTTTTGATTAGTTTAGTTGTTGCCCATAGGCTTGGGCTTGTGCTCTTGATCCAAAGCCATTGAATATACTGGATTTTTTTTTTGAGACAGATTTCCACTCTTGTAGCCTAGGCTGGAGTGCAGTGGTGCAATCTCGGCTCACTGCAACCTCCGCCTCCCAGGTTCAAGCGATTCTCCCACCTCAGCCTCCCAAGTAGCTGGGATTACAGGTGCCCACCACCACACCTCGCTAATTTTTGTATTTTTAGTAGAGATGGGGTTTTGCCATATTGGCCAGGCTGGTCTTGAACTCCTGGCCTCAGATGATCCACCCACCTTGGCCTCCCAAAGTGCTGGGATTACAGGCGTGAGCCACCACACCTGGTCATAAACTCAATTTTTTATGCTCCTACATAATAAATAATTGTTCTGGAACATAATTGAATTGTGCATAATTCAATTTACTCTGAATTATTTCCTTTAAACGTTGTACCTCTTGTCTGTCCAACCTCTGCAGGAATGACACTCCAAAAATAGTAATGCTGGCACAGCACTTTAAAATGATAGCCAACACTTATGGAACTGACAACATGAAACTTTACAGTGGACTCCAGGTAGACTTAGCCTGAGAGCTGCTTTCTCCAGACCGCCTTGGTTGCTGAAATGTGGCTAAGAGGATTTTGACACTAGCTCCTATTCACCAATCACTTCCACTGAAATAGGACCAGACCAGCAACCAAGGACAGGTGTGCCCTGGCACAGCAGGACAATCAAAACCTAACCACAGAGTAGTTGATCCACAATACTTTCAGAGAAAGATCTTCATCAAAAGGGGGAAATGTAAAAGTTGTAAGACTCACAGTGGAATCACTGGTGTCAAGCCCTGGCAAATGGAGCTGGGGAGGGTAAGAATGGGGGTGATATGGTTTGGATTTGTGTCCCCACCAAAGCTCATGTTGAATTGTAATCCCTGGGTTTGGAGGTGGGGACTGATGGGAGGTGATTGGATCATGGGGGCAGTTTCTCATGGTTTAACACCATCCTTCTTGAGATGCTGTCATTGAGCTAGTGAGTTCTTGTGAGAGCTGGTTGTTTAAAGTGTGTAGTACCTCCGCTATCTCTCTCTTGATCCTGCTCCAGCCATGTAAGATGTTCCTGCTTCCTCTTTCTCGTCTGCCATGATTGTAAGCTTCCTGAGGCCTCCCCGGAAGCAGAAGCCACTATGCTTCCTGCATGGCCTGCAGAAATGTGAGCCAAAGAGGTTTAATTAAACCTCTTTTCTTTATAATTCACCCAGTCTCAGGTG